AAACATGACGAGGAAACGGGGAAACAGCGACGTCAAAGCCAAACCCAGACGGGCAGACACATTCGGGCCCACACACACAAGTCGGGATGGTAATGGAAGTGGAAATGGTATTGGGGATGGGGATGGGGTATACATATATATAGGGCCGTATCCTGATGTGCTGCCTGGCCTTAGGAACTTCCGTTCCGCTTTATGTTACAGAGCCGAGAACGTGACATGACATGGAAATGAAAGCCGCAAAGGACCCAGAGCAGGACAGAACCGACCTGACCCTATACCTATGTATATCCATACCGGCTGGCTACATGTCTTGGCCAACTTGGCTCGAATGTGACGAAGGCGTGCCATAAATTATTTGATGGTCTCATTTGTAGTTCTGGTCAGTTGGTTTGATAGCGTCTCCGTATAACCTCAAACGGTTTTCACTTCGCTATTGTCCAACGCTGAAATTAACATACATACACAAAGACAGAGTGAAAACAGGTTAAGCTTTTTGGTAAGAAGTACCGGAGCTGTGACTTCATTTCGAGCTTGTTTCGACTGACTTTGCTCGGTGTCTTTGGAGTGTCTTTGCCTTTGAAATTGCCTTTTCTGTTTTCATTTTACGCTCTGCTGGCCAGCTCAGCGCGGAGAGGTCACTAGTCAGTGGCTACGGACATGGCCCAAATGCGATGCCCACGATTGACTAATGCCAGGCACTTCATGTGTAACAAGGTATGGCAAAATAAACGCCTTATCAGACCTGAGATAACGCTGCTTATCGCAGACATTCTGGTGACTACGACTACTCCCCTTCAGTCACAAACATGCCAGCGGATCAGGCCTTTAACCAAACAAGCTGGTAACATGACAACATACAAGTCGGAATCACCAAATTCTATAAATAAATGCTGTTACTAAGTTTACGCGCAAGCCTTACCTGGTCAGACTTCTACTGAAAGTGACAAAGTATAGTATGATAGATATACTAGGCGTTGTTTTTCGTTTGCCAATAAATTAGACCCTAAGGCTTTTACCAATATTATTTACCCAATTAACTTAAAAACAGTAGTTCAAAATTAATCGAAAAGTTCATAGTTTTTTTTAATATTTTAAAGAAACTTCAATGAAAAATAGTAAATTTGAAAATTGAATGATCTGTTTTAAATTATATTTAAGTAAGACAAAAATAATTCTCGTTTACCAACAATTCAATTGAATACAATATTTTAGAAGTCATTTTTATAAGGTCAAACCGTGAGATCACTTATAAAACTATAAATAGAAACAAATGTGCAATTATTGCACACTGAGAGCACCTTGCTCTTTATTATCTTTAAACGGAAATGTAATTATATTTTTTCTAGCCATTTATCTTAAGTATGTAGTTGAATAATTCTTCTATGTAGTTTAAATGGTATTTTTGCTTATGCAAGTTTGTCAATTAAACTGTTTATATGAAAGATGTAATCATAAACAAATGTGCCAATATTGTACACAGTTTGTTATTTAATCAATAGAGCTGTAATCCAAGAAGACCTTGCCCCATATAACACGAATCTTTCTTAAACTCCAATGCATTTTGTTTACATTTGGGGCTCAAGTTCAAGGAATGTATGACTAATTTGACGCAATTTGTAAAGCAATTTAAAAACAATAATTGAATCAAAGTTAGTAAAACCATTTCCCTTTCCCTAAGTCGTAATTTTAAATGATATTGTTTCAGTAATTTATGTAAATATAAACAAATGTGCAATCGTGTAACAACGTTTGCCGTTCAATCAATAGACAGGGGATCCAAGTGGACCTTGCCCCACGCACAGGCATCGTATATATAGCATATGGCATATGGCATATGGAAATGGCCCCTGTGTCGTAGAGCCCCTTTTTCCGCTGCCATCCTTCGTTTCCGCCGCGAATGTGAGTCATGGATAAGCCAAATGAATGATCAGTGTTGACATTGGAAGCGCTGACGGCGTTGCTTTTTGCACTTGCAACACTTCATGGCTGCAGTGGGAAACGCGAAATTAGCTGGAAACGAAAATCGTTTGTCAGACGACCAGGGACCATCGCCATCGCCATCACCATCCATCCCACTTCGTAGGTAGACGCTGCAGTAGGTATACACAAAGGTATTGGTATAAACCATGCTACACAACACATTTAAAGCCAGCGAAAAATCCGCTGGCGCAGCAGTGGAAAATGGAAAACGAAACCGTATTTCAAAGGAAGCGAAGAAGCCCATGTAAATTTCGTTAGCCTAAAAAAACAGTCTCTTGCCTGGTTGTTTGCATTATTGATTGCAGGCAACTAACTGCAGTGCTCGGGGTATTGTTCAGAAACAATGTCGGAAAATGTGGCCAAAACGGAAATTGCGGGCTACTCAAGGCAGTTCCCTGTGAAATTACAGGATCTTCTCCTAGGAAATACATTTAATTATCTTAGGTTCCCCAACTACCAAGCAATTGTAAACCACTTAAATCCATTTGAATGAAATAAACGAAATATAATAATGGAACATTTTCTAACTTAAATCTGTTTAATTTTTTTCTGTACCATAATTCGTATATGAACTTACAAACATGGTATTCCATATATTTCAGCTATTAAAAATAACTAATATAATCTTTTTTAGATTATTCTGTAGAAATATTTGTAGAGAATAGTTGTTCTAAAATTTCTATCACAGCACACAACCATTTTATAATACTTGGAAGTTTCTATACATACATATATGATATTTTATTATGCAAAGTACTTCAATGTTTTGCAAATAATACTGTTCCCCAATTATCTAATACATATGTTAAAGAGCAGGAAACGCAAATAAACATTTTTCCTCAAAAATAACTTGTTGACATTATTTATTCCCAAGTGATTAGAAGGTTCAATGCCAAAGAGTTGTGTAGTACATAAGAAATGAAAAGTAAATTTGAATAACTACTTTTAATGCTCTCGAAAGATCTATTATGCGAAAGAGAAACCATTTTCTTTTGATATGTGGAACAGAGTGGGTTATTTCTCGCAGTGCAGGGGATTATCTGAGGAAAGGGATCGAAAATCCGCACTTACCACGGCGATTGAAGGGTCGCACCCTTACGGCGACTTTGATCTTATCACTTGACATCGCGGATGCGGATGCTGCGGCTGTTTTTTAGAGAAGTTCTGGAGTGGAGATGCGGGTGGGCGGGGCACCTCTCGCGACGGGGGGCGTGGCAGCTCCTTCTCCTCCTGCTGCGTTACTACTTTTGATTAGCGTTGGTTAGTTGTGTCGTTGCTGGCGTCCCCGCGGGAATTGTGTGCACGCAATCTGGAAGGCAGGTGGAAGTCGTAAGCTGACTCACAAATATGTGGCTTTTGTGGAGCGCCAAAAAAATAAATTATATATATGATATTGTGTGAGTTCAATTAGCGCCACGCACACAGGGGCAATTCTAACAGTAAGTGGGGGGTGGGGGCAGTGGGCGGCAGCAGGGGGTGGTTTTCCATTTCATTCTCGCCGTTTGTCATTCACTTTGTTTTGCTTTTGCTTTTTTGCTTTGTTGTTACTACACACACACACTACACACACATCACACATATTTACACGTTTTATTGTCATGTGCTGGCATTCCGCTATTTACGCGAGGCACTCAAAAAATATTTGCTGGAAATTAGCTAATTACGATTATGATTCGAGTGTCCTTTACGATTTTCGTTGCCTGTGCAAATAAGTATGTATAAATACATACATAGAGATAATTTTTTTCGCACTTGCTCTTTCACTCACACACATGCACACAGTCTGCACAGGTACCACTTTAACCCCATAAAGCCCCCTCAATATAAAGACTTCTCGAAATGCATATAGACTTGCGAAAAGTAACGCCAGGCTCCACCGCCCGCGCAAAAAAGTCTCGAAGGCAGTGTGCGACTTCTTTGAAGAATCGATTTTTATGGCTCTCTTTTTTCTTTCGCGGGGGGAGCTTCTCACTTGGGGGTTTACTTTCTTGCACCCCGCGGGGATTCTCTGCAATTTAAACTATCTCGATAATCGCACCTTTCGCTCCGTCGTTGTTGCACTTGGTTTCACTTCAATTTTGCCTTTCTGTATTGCGTTTTCATTTTTCGCGTTTCGTTTTTCTAGCAATTTTTACTAGTGGTGGAGAGTCATCGATTCGTTTTGCGACTATCGACCAGTGTGACCGTGCGCGGAAGCAGAAGAATTAACACGCACGATTTCAAAAATACCAAGCATGTGTTTGTACACAGGTTGATGGGGGTATATTCGGTATATTGGGTGGGTGTACTCGCTGGCTTCCATTGTACTGTGGGTAAAATCTGTATATCTTTTCATAAAATCTTAATATAAAGATACTTAAATAAAATGTTAATCGTTTACTTCTAGAAGTAAAACTGTCTTTTTTTAATTTAAAAGTATCTTAACTTTTTTTAATTTGACTTCAAATTTGTACCTATTTCACCCTACTATTCTATGGTAGATTCCCGAACTTTTTGTCCTGATCAGGGCCTACCACACAAACTGGAAAATGTTCAATGATTGAACCGATCATACCTATGTGTGCTAAACAGAGTTAAATGCGCAAAATGCGGGTAATTCGCATTCGACTATGTTTAAACGTTATTTTATTAACCAATTTCAAAATAAATATACCTTCGATAGGAGGAGAAAAACATCTATGATGCGACGTTACTGACCATGTATTTGCTAGGTACATACGGGTATAAGGACATAACTTTTAGAGTAATCCCAACTTTCTAGCTTTTAAAGTTTCTGATATCTCAGTGACACAGATCACAGACAGACAGATGGACATGGATATATGGACTCGTCTAGTGATGCTGGAACATAAATAGTTTATTTAAAATAAAAATTATTTAAAAGGTGGAAATGGTATCATCACTGCATAAAAAATATTATGCCAACCAGAGCGAACGTTATAGTCGATGAGTTCTACATTAATCAATTTTTATTGAATACATAATATTATTTGTTTATTTAATTCAGATGTAAGAGAAAATATATTAAAATCGTTTAAATTTTAGAAAAGATATTAAGTAAGATAAGTAAGATATTAAGTAAGCTAGCAATCGCCATTTATACTCCTTTAAACGGGCCCAATAGTTTGAAGATCTTAAAAGCTCCAGTGCAAAGCAGCAGCCACCGATACCCAATGCCAACGCATACAATCCCAGAACCCAATAAAGGTCATCCACGCAGATTTTCCGTTTATCCTCTAGCGGTTTGCTGAAGTCCGTGCGCTTCGTGAGTTCCAGCCCGAGCATATCCAAGAAGCTGTGATCGATCCAGTGATTCAACAGTCCAAATTCCTTCTGCCGTAGAATATGGTCTTCAAAGAGTTCGCGATAGGGAAGGTGACGTCTTATGGGAAAACTCAATATGCTATAGCGGCTTAGACAGAAATCATCTGAGTAGTAGAACACTGGATGCTGAAAGAGCTTTTGCTGCTCGTTGTAAGTGCTCCAGCGCACACTGGTCACCGGAAAGACAAAGTCGTTGTCAAAAGATCCTCGTAAGTTCTCGAACTTCTGGAAGTCCTCAAAGGTGTGGACCCGATCATCGCTTACTCTGTGCAGTTTACGATGCTTCTCAGAACGCAACATGTCTATCTCGGCCCAGTTCATGGCAACCTTGTATCTGGATTTTTCAAAATCGCTAATTGTACGTACCATCGGCTCGGCTGGCGGACTATACAGAAAGGTGTGCAGGTAGGCTCCGTACATGGTTGTGGTCATAAGGCTGGCAAAGCACAGAAGCAGGCAAATTAGCTTCAGTTTCCTGCTCGATTGGCGGGGAAACGGAAACGGCTGAGCCAAAAACCCCCTCAAACACATATCGTTCATCAGGACTCGAGTAAGCCTCAGACCGCGAAAGGACTTCTGCTGGATGTAGATCAGCATCATCGAGAAGATGAGAAATAAGACAAGTAGCACGCCCAGGACTCCGTGATCTATGATCACCCCGTAGATCTCGTTGTGTGGCACCAAATCTGGAAGAGGTAACATTAAGCAGTAGGAGCTTGTCAAGTAAGGATATGAGAATGTATCAAAGTTAGTCATTTCCCAGGTAGAGTCCACGGTCATGCCAATATCTAAAAGATCGTCAGCGGCCCACTTAGATATATTCACAAAGAAGATTTTGCCGTCGACCTCAGTCAATTCTTTCGGCATGTCCATGGTTGCGTTAACCTTTTCAATAAAGTTGTTTATAAGGTTAGCCACAAAACCTATCCACTTCTTCTTCCCTGTTTTTGGGTCCTGGGTAACCATGGATCGAGGTTCCAAGTTGTCGGTAATTGTTCTTATCGGCGCTCCATGCATGTTTCTAAATTGTTCTACAAAAATTTGGTTAGCATCGGATAGGTTCACTTCTTCATAGTTTCGATCTTGAAATAGGCGACAGGAGTATACTACCCCGAATTGATCGAAGTTTTCTTTTACCATTGCTATGTTATATTGATCCTTTTTCGAATAGAAGTCGCATACTGTCTCCGGTTGAAAATCTCCACGCAGAAGAATTAGACGCCTGGCTAGTTGCAGCTTCATCAATGTGCGATAGTTTTCCTCCCTCTCTGCTTGAAACTCACAACTGAGTATAAGTGTTAGGCTACTGAAATTCCACTCGAAGTTGGTGCTACCCGAAGAAACCAGCACTGTCGGGACTTGTAATCGACTTAATAAAGAAGGAAACACGCAATTCCGTCCATAAATCAATAGGGTGTCGTATAATTTCTCCGTTTGTAGTGTTAAGAGAAGACTCAGCAATCTTTCCTCTAAACCTGGTTCAATTTTACTGGTAATGTTTATAAAGTGAGCCCTCGAACTCCCGAGGCAGAGAAAAATGAGTAAAAGCCAAGCCATGGCATAATAATAACTGTTTGAAATCCTGTGCGTTCCTCACCTTTTCTACTTTACACACCTTTGGATTGTTAATGTTTTTCTGGCATGCCATTTGTATGTTTCTCGTTTTGTGTTAACAAGGCTGAAAGTTTGGTACTAATGGTCCATTTTACAAGTGGTTACATTTGAAAACCATTTACCCTTTTACTCTACGAGGAGCAAAAGAGAGAACATAGTCGTTTACTTGCTTATAATTTAAACTTAAAAACTTAGGGCATGTACATGTATAATGATGATCAAACCAAAATCCATTTTAAGCTTTTGCCAAATCCTTAATGTATGTATGTATAAAGGTATCTCAACGTTAATACGGATAGATCGACTCGGCTAGTGATCCTGATCAAGAATATATATACTTTATAAGGTCGGAAACGCTTTATTCTACCTTTTGCATACTTTTCGGCGAATCTAATATACCGTTTTACTCTAAGATTAACGGGTAACAAGTATCAAAGTACTCTACGAGTAACAAAATTAAGAAATTGTAATTATTTAGTAGATCGCATAATACATTTTAGTCACAAAAGTTGATATCGTCACTAGATTTTTACCTCGTTGAGAGGTGTTTTTGTTTGATATCAGAAGTTTTTGTTTTAAACATCAATCATATAATTAATCTACATTCCCAAAAGCCGGAGAGTTCAAGTTTCTTATATGGAACTGTTGATAGCAATTTAAATGATTCCATGATTTTAAAATGTCCAAAGTTGAGGATTTTCAAGGGCTATACAGCTTAAGCTCAAATAGATTTAAATCAAATTATCGAGTATAACTAAAGATTCTTATACTAACTTGTTTAACATCACCTTACATTTCAGGACATTTATATAAAGTTTGGATACGATACAAAAGTTCAATAATCAGGCCGAGTAAGATGTTTTGAACTGGTAAATGTGGCCATTCTTTTAACAACAACAACAAGGGCTATACACTATCAGGACTAACCTAAAATCGGCGAGCCGTTTTTGCGAAATCAACAAAAAGGACTCAAAAATTGGAATAAAAAAATATTATTCAAGATATTATTCCCCTTTTGGGCTTCGTCTCAGTGATTTCAGAGACATCCGAATATTGCTTCTTACCATGCATTTACCTTGCAAATCTCAAATTCATCCTTATGTGTTTTTTTTTGGACAAACTTTTGTCAAAAATGATTAATTCTCAGCAGGGGTAAGTATTTAATAATTCATGTACTCCTACTTTGCATATTTATAACAATAGGTATAAAATATTTTTTTTGTTGTTTATTTTTCGTGAAAACACATAGGTATATTTTTATAAAAAGTTAACAAGGAAGAATGCTATAGTCGAGTACCTCGACTATCAGATACCCGTTACTCAGCTAAAGGGACCACCTACCCGTGATCTCAATATATGGTTATGTGGGCGGTAGACAGATTTAAGCGTTATGGGCATTAGAGTGGGCGTGGCACATTGCTGAAGCAAACATGCGCTGCGCAGAAGTCTCAGGAATATGCATGCCTAATCCCAGTATTGTAGCTCCTATAGATTCCGGGATCTCAGCGTTCATACGGACAGACGGTCAGACGGACAGACGGATATGGCTAGATCGACTCGGCTAGAGATCCTGATCAAGAATATATGTACTTTATGGGGTCGGAAAGGCTTCCTTCTGCCTGTTACATACTTTCCTACGAATCTAGTATACCCTTTTACTCTACGAGTAACGGGTATAATAAGCAATGCCACTTAAGTGAGAAGATAACTAAGGTCTCTTTGCAAAGAACCTGGTCACTGGCACATCGAATCCATTGAAGGGACTAGCAATGGGCACTGTGTAGGCTCCCATGTTGCGAAAACCCAAAAGATCGCCACAGTTTAAGTTGGGCAAGAGACAATCGTCCAATATCTTAAGGTTAAAAAAAACATTCTGTTGATATTGAATGCTTTGGTTAATTAGATTACCTTGTCCTGGGAATCACAGCTGGGTCCCCAAATCACCGACTTGAACTTTGGCCGAGACTCGACGTCATCCTGTAAAAATTAATATTTTTATCCGTTATTTGAAGAGTAAAAGGGTGTGTTGAATTCGTTGGAGAGTAAATGTGAAGGAAGTAGAATGAAGCCTTTCCGAGCATATAAAGCAGTGATGGCCAGCACAAGGAGCGCACTTGGCCCGCAGGATGGGCAGATACCTTTGCTGCTGCTCCGCTGATCATTAAAGGACATGGATATGCTCACAATTATAATAATAAAATAATAATCAAAACGATATCTTATTACAAGTTTTCCAAATCCTTAAAAAACTGGAAGGTAGACAGAACTTTGCGATTGTGGCACATTCGGCTAACAAACTTTCGCTGAATGAGCAGCTAAGAAATATAAATCCAAAATTTCTAGATCTTATAGTTTCCTATATCACAGCGTTCACGCGGACAGACAGACTTTGCGGATTTAGCCACTACTGCTACTGCTACTGATTCTGATCAAGAATATATATACTTTAAAGGATCGGAAACAAATATTTCTGCTATTAAATATGGAATTTAAAAATGAATATGAAATTGTACAAATTTTACGATATATAATAATTATATGGGTTTGCAAAGATATTCATTATTTTCATACCAGGTAAAGAACAGGAGTTAGCTCCTCAGGGCGGTAAAACATTGCTGCAAAGTGTCCGTACATGCCATCATTTAGGAAGTACATATTTTTCTCTAGCTTTCCGTTTTTATTGCGGACCTCTCGCTTAGCGTGGATCTTGCAGATCAATGTGTAGGCAGCCTCCACAAAGAAACGTCCTGGTTCTCCAATTACTTGAACACGCTCATCGGGGAAACGGTTCTGCACCGAGGTGTTAACAGCGGCAGCTAACTGTAAAGAGTGTCTCTCTATACAAATAGCTCTAAGACGGAAGCTTTGTTGCACACACCTCCTCGAACAATTCATCATTTTTGCCCGGAAATCCTCCGCCAACATCTAGTAAATCCATCTTATGACCTATAAGCTCGCCAAACCGAAAAATGTTTTCGGCCTTCTCGACGGCTCGATCGTAGGCCTCCACCTCGCTACATGCGGAACCCACATGGAAACTGGTGCCAGTCACCTTGAGACCCAGGGCCTTGGAAAGAAGCATTAGATCTGGAGCATCTGCCTCCGAGTCACAGCCATATTTTTCGCCCAGTAAATACAACGCCTTCGTGGACTCGCTCTTGAATCTTACGATGATACTTAAATACGGAACTCATTGTAGCACGAAAATATTTAGAAGGGTAGAACTTACTTGGAGTTGGGGAAGTGCTTTCTCAGCTGGTAAACCGCGAACTCATTATCCACCGTGCCATTGACAACCTCATGTTCCTTGGCGTACTCTAAATGGCTGGCAGGACGAGAAGGATGAGCAAAGATAATACGTTCAGGCGACACGCCAAGTCCTAAGACCTAAAAATGTTGTATATGTACATATATGTATTACGGTGGGGCGACTTGGGTGCAAAAATTTGGAAAAGAACATTGCTGCCTTATAAGAAAAAATAATGTATTAACGCGAAGAAGTCATAAATTGAGAGAAAGATTTGAACGATATATGGGGCACTCCTGATCAAGACACTTTGATGCTTCTCAAAGCAATAGTAAGTTTGTGTACTTATTTTGAAGCTTATTTCAAAGGATTAAAGTTGACATTTTTCACTTTCTTTTGCTGTCGAAGAGTCTTCTCCTCGAACACTCACTAGTTTCAGTTCGTTCTTGGAGGCGCAGTCGAATCCCGTTCCAAGATCTGCCAGAAACTTGACCAACACCGGAATGTTATTGCACTTGACGGCATAGTAGGGTTTTATCCTTGGAAGAAGTTTCTGCCAGAGGCGAAGCTTCTGCTCCAGACTGGACAGATCGCAGATGTTGAGGGCCTGGTCCATACTCTGCAGATCTGACTGCTCGATCACCCGGCGGATGTTGAGCTCGTGATCGTAGTATTCAATTTCTGGGGTACCGTTCGCCATCTCGCACTTTTCGCAACTGAATGGGTGTCCAGAGCACCGGTCGTTCCTGAGCTGGGTACAAAAATCATTCGTAATCAATCGTAAATCATTTTAATGACCTCGCGCGGCTGCACGGGCATGTACAACTAATAACATTTTAATTTTCAAGAGCAAGTGCCCGAGTGGCCATTAAGTCGGGACACGGGGCACTTCACACCGCCTTTCACATCTAAATCGAAATCGCATCAAATCCCTACGCACACCCCTAGGAAATTCCACGACAATGGCAATAATAATAATAATAGAACTGTGCGTGCAAGGCTACGTACAAGGCTACGGAATCTAAATCTGAAATCCCAAATTGTCTATCTTTGATAGTTTCCAAGATACCCGCCACGTAGGAGCCACAGTTTTGGGCGATTTGTGGGCGTTTGAGTGGGCGTGGCCCCTTGCTGAACTTGGGCTGCGCAAGAAGCTCAGGAATCTGCATGCCAAATCTCAATAGCCTAGCTCATATAGTTTCCGAGATCTCAGCGTTCATACGGACAGACGGACATGGCTAGGTCGACTCTGCTAGTGATCCTGATCAAGAATATACATATTTACATCCAAAATTTCAAATGATGCAGAATATCGCTTGTGGCATGAAAGATTAACACATATTAGTGTATGAAAATTCTTAGAAATTAAACGAAATAGCTTGTTTGAAGATGTTGAACTTATAAAAAACATACAGCTAAATAGAAATGAAATGTGAGAGGCGTGTATTAACAGAAAGCAATCTAGGCTAAAATGTGAACAAGGAAGAACGCTATAGTCGAGTACCTCGACTATCAGATACCCGTTACTCAGCTAAATGGAGATATGCAAGCAGCAAAGCGAGATTAAAATGCGCCACCTACCGGCGGTATACAGATTTAAGCGTTATGGGCGTTAGAGTGGGCGTGGCAAATTTTTTTTTGGATCAATCGATAGGTATCGACGAGACCAATACATTTCAGTTACAATTTTTTATCTAGCATGAAAATTGTGGGCGTCACAGGTTTTTGCGGTTTGTGGGCGTTAAAGTGGGCGTGGCAAACTTTTTTTTGAGTCAATCGATAGGTAATGACGAGACGAATACATTTCAGTTAAAATTTTTTATCTAGCATAAAAATTGTGGGCGTCACAGGTTTTCGCGGTTTGTGGGCGTTAAAGTGGGCGTGGCAAACTTTTTTTTAGGTTAATCGATAGGTATTGATGAGAACATTACATTTCAGTTAAAATTTTTATTCTAGCATCAAAACTGTAGGAGCCACAGTTTTGGGCGGTTTGTGGGCGTTAGAGTGGGCGTGGCACTCTACTGAAACAAACTTGCGCTGCGCAGGAATCTCAGGAATCTGCGTGCCTAATCCCAGTATTGTAACTCTCATAGTTTCCGAGATCTCAGCGTTCATACGGACAGACGGACAGACGGACAGACGGACAGACGGACAGACGGACAGACGGACATGGCTAGATCGACTCGGCTAGTGATCCTGATCAAGAATATATATACTTTATGGGGTCGGAAACGCTTCCTTCTGCCTGTTACATACTTTCCGACGAATCTAGTATACCCTTTTACTCTACGAGTAACGGGTATAAAAATGTGAAAAATCTAAAAACAAAGAAAAAATTGACCGCTCATTGTTCGTAGTATTCTGATGTATGTATTTGGTCCGATTACACCTTCAACTATTGATAATAAAAACTACTATGTAGTATTTATTGATCAATATACACATTAGTGTGTGACACATTTAATAACTTATAAATCAGACGTGTTTTTTGTATTCAAGACAATTTATGATGGCTAGAGATGTAGTGGTGGACGAAATAAATATAAAATCTGTGACTTTAAATGAAAACAAGGAAGAACGCTATAGTCGAGTACCTCGACTATCAGATACCCGTTACTCAAAGGGAAATGGAGATATGCAAGCAGCAAAGTAAGATTAAAATGCGCCACTTACCGTCGGTAGACAGATTTAAGCTTTATGGGCGTTAGAGTGGGCGTGGCAAATTTATTTTTGGATCAATCGATAGGTATTGACGACACCAAAACATTTCAGTTAAAAATTGTGGGCGTCACAGGTTTTTGCGGTTTGTGGGCGTTTAGGTGGGCGTGGCAAACGTTTTTTTAGGTCAATCGATAGGTATTGATGAGAACAATACATTTCAGTTAAAATTTTCTATTTAGCATCAAAACTGTGGGAGTTACAGTTTTGGGCGGTTTGTGGGCGTTAGAGTGGGCGTGGCAGTCTACTGAAACAAACTTGCGCTGCGTAAGAAGCTCA